AGAATTCCAAGATCTTTCAAACGATGTGCGACTCGCCCCCAGTTCTCTATTAAAATTCCAAAGGTTGTTCACCTCTCTGCTCCGGGGTTGAAGTGGCGACGCTGTAAAGGGGAAAAAACTGTACCCCTCCCAATAAAAATCTACCTGTCTGAGCGTTTTTTAGGATTTGCAAGATTAGTACCCAAAACCTCCATGTCAAGTTTTCGATGGCCCACCCTGTATACAAATTTGTTGAATACATTTACAAACATATAAGTTTTGTGGAGAAAAATCAGTTTTTATCGAACTTTTTATGGTATTTTCATCTTCGACAATCAATGAAGAACTTTATACATGTGTGAAAAAACAAACTTTTTAGTTCACTCCAACAAGTTACTGCTTGTATTTAAAGTATTCTTCACAAAGAAAAATGTTCTATTTATCAGTGACTTGTCATATTTATTAATTTCTTCAATCAAAAATAGAGCTAAGAAATTATATATAAGTTATTTTGGAATTATCTATACTTTTCTTCAAGACAGGTAACCAAGTACAATCCATTTCTAAGGTGCTATTCGAAATACACTTCTTTCCAGATATAAGAATATAAGCTGACTCTTTGAGTTTAAGTCTCTTAAAGTCTCGTCTTGTTCCATTCGATAGAAAGAAAGAAATTTATTCATTCATGGACCAACTACATGGTATCGAACATGTCAACTTATACATATAAATATGTAAACAAACAAATATGTAAATATTAAATTAAAACAAGATAAAACCGTACACAATGAATTAAAGTTTTCGTTTGTATACATGTCAAAGTTAAAATCATCGCAGAGTATAAAATGGATTATGGGTTTGTACAGACAGTCTAACATCTCAGAAATCTTACCTAAAAATAAATTAGCATCTCCACTAGGAGCTCTATAACAGTTTAAAACAATATTTGTACCATGTTTTGTTTCAAAGGAAGCAGCACAAATTTCAAAATGTTGTTCGACACAAAATTTCAATACATCTATGGATTTCATTTCGAAACTGTGGTGGGTCCATATGCTAACTCCTCTACAGCGCATAGTTGGTCTGCAGTAGAAACTACTTTTTGGCAATACAACTGCCGGAGTCGATTTTCCCGTTCCAAATAATAGAAAGGTAATTAATGTTCTCATTCCACCTCAATCGCTGGTCCAGTATTACCCCTACAGACATTTGATTGGTGATACCTTTTTCAACTTTTGGACACGTATGTACACTCCTACCTGAACAGTATGCCTAATTGAAAAGCGATGAATTCAGGTTTTGCAATGTTTGAAATCAGAATTGTGTTTAGCTCTCTATGTATTCCATTACACTCTCATTCATGAGAATGGAATCATACTGAATGAGAATCAATTTTCCTACTTTATTCTTCGTTCGAGGAAAGACAACTTCAGTAATAAAGAGGGACTGATTGAAGTTTTGTTATTGATTACTCATAGATTTTATTTCAGCTGGAAAGAGGATTAAAATTCAACAAAAGACGCTGCTATTTTCAAATGTTGAATTACCTGCAAATATCCTCCTTCACAGTGACTAGCGTTGAGCAACTGACCTACTTTGAATTTGTTGAATTTGATCCTTAAAATCCAGTCTTTTGGTGTTCCTCGAAATGAACGGAAGCGGTACCAACAAGTCATCGCTTTTCCGAAGTTTTCCTGGGTTACCTCTGGACTAGAAACATCCTCGTATATATCCACGGTCTTATTACAAACATCTTTCTTCGAGTCACCTGGAACAATGAGTTTGACATTTATTATTGATTACTTACAAGATTCATACCAAATTATGATTTAATAAACGTTACTAGGGAAAATTTATTTGAATGCTGCTTAAAGAATATACTCCATTGTTTGTTAAAAAAAATGGCCCAGGCCCAATGTAAGGTTGTTCCAAAAGTTTTATTCATTTTAATGTCAAGTGATTTTATATCTTCATATCTCAATAAATATTTATTCTACTACCAATCGGTAAAGGATTTTGTACTCTGTACAGGGATACTGATTTTCTTTCAAATTGATTTTTTACCTCTTTTGAGCTTATATGATGTCGCTGAGCGATTTTTGGCCAATTTTAGTGATAGTGTTGATAAACAGACTATTCAACCATGGTCTGCGAAATTTTGTTTCGGAGATTTTAGCCCCGAAGCGGTGGACTTAAAGTAATCCAGGATGAGGATTTGAGGACCCTGGTGGAGTCTGAGCCACCAGATAGCAGAAGATATCAGAAGGGATAACAGCAGATAGTGTGGGATAGCAGAAGAACTGGGCAGTTTAAAACGTATTGGAAAGTTCATAGAGCTCAAAAAGTGGCTGCCCCACAAAAATTCTGTTCCTCTTTACTTTTGCACAATCAAAACGATCCTTGTTTGGGATCGCATCGTCACATATGATGAGAAGTGTATCCTCTTCGACAACAGTAGACGTTCAGGAAGTTATGATCCACTATAACTTGCTGCAACCGGACCAGCAGAGTCATATTGTGACGAAATCTACGAAATTTTGCAGAAATTGCGTCAGTAGTAACCGGCACTGTTCAACAGAAGAAGTCAGATCCTGCCGGTAACGCCCATCTTTACGTTTCACAAATCAACGTCAGGAAATCAAACAAATTGTACGTCGGAATTCTGCCTCACCCACCATACTCCCCAGACCTTTCGCCAACCGACTACGATCTTTTCAAGTACTTCTATAACTTTTTCACCGGTAAAACTTTCGCTAATCAGACATTCATCGACTTCATCGAATTTCGAGAACACATTTTTTATGCTAACGGGATTGTGCACTGATTCAAATGCCATTCATTTCGATTAAATTGAGATATTGGACTTATAAAAGTAGACTCATGAAAACGGACAAACAGTTTGAAATAAATCTGTATAGTATTTCCAATACCAATTGGAACAGCACAGAGAAGGAATTCCCGCCTCGACATAGGCGTCGGCATATTATTTTTCAGTGGTAGTTTTTCAGTTACTTATTCTTACAATCATAGCAATTGATCACCCCATGAAAAAGTTATCTCAACTGAATTTTTC